TTTACGATACCGATGATGAGTTACTTTCATTTAAACTTTAGGATATAGTTTACGTTTATAAACTGATTTATTTATTATTTATTATTTATTTATTATTAGTATCAGACTTGATCTTCCAATTGTCTGTGAATGATGTATTTATAATCTTCTGGAAGTGACTCAACGGCCAAAGAATGACAAATTTATATGTATAATTCAGTATATCTCTTCTATGTTCCAAAAAAGGCATAAATATGAGCCGCAACATGTATAAAGTAAACATGTATAGTTCAATTAAATGTATTAAATATACCAACTGTATTAAATTATTAATGTACTATTTAAATTATTAATTATCTCTACGTATATCAATTTCCACGCTTGATTCCTATTTTATGCCTTTTATTTTACTATTTTGATTATAAGGAAACTTTATGTTTTTCTGATTTCTAAGTTTATTATAGACAAAAAATGTTAAGATTATCACCATTAGGAACAAACTTTAAGGGATTGTAGATTTTATCAAAAGGAACAATTTTTATTAAGGAATTTGTGTTTTTTGAGCATTTAAGCTTGTGTCACATTTTACGCACACATTGAAAATTGAGAATTGTAAACTAAAGATTATAATTCATACAGTCAGAATGGAACGGATTAAAATTAAAATTATCTGACTAGTCAAATTCTAATCTCTAGTTTGCAATCTACGATTACGTCACATGTAACTGCCTATTAAAATCCGATGTCCATAATGCTAGAAATCAATCTAAGATCTCAGACCGAGAAAAAATTAACAAATCACATTTGAACAATTTGATCATACGACCATTGCGATTGGTCAATTCTTTCTTCATCCGAGGTCTCGGATCGATTCTAGCATCGTGGACACAAAGCTTAATAAGTCCGGATCTATAGGTGTTTTAAGCCTTAAACCATAAGAAATTGATCAACTACAGTCGAATGTGAGGAGAATAATTGATTCGTCCATTCTTTATAGCTTAAGATTTAAAAATCTATTGTAGATTCGGGTTAACTGGTCAAGTGGTTCTTTCAAAATGCTTATAAGGAGAGATCTCTTTTGTACTTCTAGGACTCTAGGACATATTATATATACATATATATATATATATATATATATATA